GGGACCCTGTCTCTAAATAAAATACAAAAGGGGCTGGGGATGTGGCTCAGTGGTTAAGCACCCCTGAGTTCAATACCTGGAACAACAACAACAACCAAGTGGTCAGCTGGAGCCACAACTGAACGTTACCCAGGGATTGAGTGAGACCCCTCTAGAGCGAGAGCCTGAGTGATCAGGAAGGGGTTGAGTGGTAGGGATGTCCATTATGCAGGATGTCCAGTTCACATGGGGAAGTGACCACACTGACACGGTATTGTCAACCCTGGATTTGTTTGTCCCCCTCAACTAGGGTCTCCAAGATGTCCACATAGAGAAGCCAGGGAGTCCTCAACTCCCATGACGATTTTTACTGTCCAGGAGAGTCCTTGTCTATCTGTGGCAAGGTAGGGGATGGGAGGGGGGCTTGGAGAGGTAAAGGGTCAAGGCCAAAAGCCAAAGACACTCCCTTGCCTGTCTGCCTTCCTTTCTGCTGTACTGCTGGGGGCTCAAATCCAGGGCTTCATATATGCTAGGTAAGCACTCTACCATGGAGTGGCACCTCAGTCCCTCAAAGACACCACTTTTCACAGAGACACACTGCCTTTCATTCCTTTAGGCAGTAGGAGTGCAAAGTTTTCAAGCGGTGGAAATAACTCCACTTCTTCTCTTCCTGCCCGCCCCAGGCTTCCTTCTATCCTCCTCTAGACCCATGAGTCTGCCTGGGCCCTCGCCTGCTCTCGCCTGCTCTCCCTTTCCTCCTCAGGAATGAGAGAACTCTTCTGAGATGACATGCAGCACCCTGGGCAGGATGTTCTTGAATCATTTCTTCCCAGTGATGAAAGGCCAGAGCCTTGCAGTCTGTTAAGTTTGACAGACAATCTGTCTTCATTTCGAAATGTCCCCTAAAAAGAACAATCTGTTATACTCTGGCCCACACATTTGAATGGAAATGAAATCATGAAATCTGACCCAAACATCACAAAGGAAGGAGTAACCATGGCGGAGGGAAGGGATGCACAGGAAACTTTCTGCTGGCAGCTCAGCGCAGAAGTTGCCCTTTGTGCATTTTCATGGAAATGATGGATACCAGTGCCCTCCGTGTGCATGTGAGTCACACTGGAAAGACTCATCCAGGCCAGAAAGGAGACCGCTCACTGTCGACACGGAACATTACCCCATCCGCTGGCTTTCAAACCTGCTGAAGCGAACATTTTGGGAAGGAAATAGAGCAGAGCTAAATTTCCCAGCCATGTGAAAACAGAGAGAGGGTGAGCACATATCCTCCAAGGATCCCGACTCTGTCTGTGGTCTGGCTCTTATTGCATCCAGAAAGGCTATCCCAAGTGCAGGGTGGTCCTCAGAACGAGCTCCCCTATCATCTCTCCCCTCCTCATCAAATTCCCGAAAGTCTAGCCAGGTTTTATCCGGTGGGCAGACCTGACTTCAGTCTAGACCTGAGATGTTCAAGGTCTCCCCGGGTGGGGATCAGGGTAGAGATTTCTGTCTTGCGATTTCAAGTGGGAAAGATCATAACAGAAATAACTAACATTTACAGTACATTTACTAAGCTTTGATTACTGAGTTAAGCTCTTCCTGTGTATTCTAAATATTTAATTTGCAGGAGGAAGGTCCTTTTATGGCCATTTTACTAATGTGGAAACTGAGACTGACTTCTCCTTGAAAAACCAACAAACAGGCTTGGCTGGTGAACCCTAGAGTAGGCATGGCCCTTGGAGCTCATTCTTACTTGCTAAAGTCTGGTGCAATACGTTCCTTTTTGGAATGCGTCTTCTGTAGAAATGAGACACAAAAGCCCAAGACGTCGGCTTCCAAGAGCACCGAGGGCCCATTCTGGAAGCTCATGTCAGGGCCTCCATGATGTTCAGACTCAGCAGAGGGGGCAGATTGGGCTTTGGTCCCGCCTCTGCTCCTTTCCATCCTAGCTTCTAAGAGTTGTCCCCCCAACACCTCTATCCTCCTCGTTGGGCTCCTTCTTGGGGCATGCCGTGGCTTGGGCTGTCTCGGTCTCCAAGGGGATGGGTGATTTATGTCCTTTTATTCAACAAACAGCTTTGTGTAGAAGGGATGCGACTTGCTGAATGCCACCAGGCGGGGGCAGGGAAGCTGTGCAGAATCCCAATGAAGCTCTCTGGGCCTGGGCAAAATGGCAAGGGGAGACTCTGCTATTGTGTGTGTTTGCTCTGGTGGGAGGAAGGGCAAAGCAGCCAATCCTAAAAGGTTCCAGATAGGGGGATGGAGCAGCAAGGGAAGGCCCAAAGCCCCAGCGTCCTAGTTGTGCTGCCAGTGCCTGACTTTTCTCAATTTTCCATGCCCTCCTGGCACTCTGTAGGAGTAGGCTTCCTCGTCCCTGGACAAAAATTAGGAGGGCTCCTTTCTGTGGGGCTGAGTGAGTTCAGAGGCTGAGTGTGCCAGGACCTTAGAACCCTTGGCTGCAGAATAAATCGAGGGGCATGGAGACATTCACTAGGACAACGTCGGGGCTCCACTCTGCACACAACCCTTCCCAAACCCAGGAGGCCCTGTGGTCTACCTGCTTTCTATGTTCATCTTTCACCTCACCCCATGGATGTCTGGGTCTGTAAGTTCTCTGACACCATGAGCCATGCCTATTCCTCCCCCCCCCAACACACACAGGATGCCCAGCACAGCCCTATCTTCAAAACACAGTAGGTACTCAATGTTTGTTGAATGAATAACAAATGTCATTTCATTCCCTATTAATCCTGACACCCATTATTGCCCTGGAGCCTGAGGGCTGCTCTGGGATACCTGACAGAATGACAAAGCATGACCCCAGTGTTTAGGGCAGATGATTCTCCATGGTGCCAACCAGTGTGTGACAAATGCACTAAGGAACAGGAAGAATGAGAGCTGCAGGACCAAGGTTTGGTCCCACCCTCTGCCTTCTCCCACTGGAAGAGCTCACCAAGGCATAATCCAGTCTCACCTACTCCAAGCCTGATTCCTTTCAGCAGCTGGCCCAGTCCCCAGCTTGGTCCCTCCCCAGCACAGGCTGCGGTGACTGGTCTGCGTCTGCAGCCCCAAGGCCCCCATGCTGGCTCCCTCAGCCTCCCCCACACTCAGTCACCGGGGAGGACGGCAATTAGTCTTCATTATGCTGCTCGGCCTGACCTGGCCTGGTGAAAAACTCCTTGTTCCCCACTTTTCAGATCAATGTGGACCTGGCACACAGGATCCAGAGACTGGCCACATAGGGACCGGGGAGGGCAGAAGAAAACATTCAGAGCCTGTGAGAGGAGCAGGTCCACTCTTGCCCCCAGAGCAGAGAGACAGCAGGGTCCCCTGGAAACATGGGGCAGCTGGAAAGAGCAAAGTGAGGAGAATGGAAAGGGACAAAGGCATGTGAAAAGGTCAGAACAATGGGGCAAATGGAGGGGCAAGAGGGAAACGAAGAAAATGCGATCTCTCTTTGGTATGTCCTGATGTGCGCTTTATTCTGTATCATTTCCTTGGAACACCCCTGTAGGATACCCCACATGGCAGGGCTGGTGATAAATGGTAAGAGGAGCTGGAGGTAGAAGAAAGGAGGGCCAAAGGGAAATGCTGAGCATTTATCTATTCTCTTTCCTTTCCCAAACCTTGGTCTCATCTGCACTGAGAGCATCAGGTCCTGGATTTCAGTTCTGGAAGTCAGAGGCAGGACCTTGGCTTTGCCGAACTAAGGGCCATCCAGGGATTTCAAGGTCTCTCAGATAGCACTAAGCCCTTGTTTTCCTACCTGCACTCAAACACCCCAAGAGTGAAGTCAGGGTCTGTCTTCAGGATCTCTAAGTCCCCTGAGATTATAAGCCATGGCTGTTCCCACATAACATCGACACATGGGATGCCCAGCCTAGTCCATTATCAGAAGGCAACTGGTCTACCCTTCAAAATCCAATACCCTGCATCCCTGCTGCCATTCCACAGGTATGTAACACAGCCCTGGCTCAGGGACACTAACAACCAACAGGCAGGGTAACTCCCCAAGCTTCCCAACCCTGGGGGCAGAAAGAGTCCCTGCCCCTCTCTCAGCAGGCCCTTGATACTTCAGAGGCAAGTGCAAAAGGGGCAGATTCTACCAGGACCTCTGAAGAAACAATTCTGCTGACTGTACCCAAGGAAAAGGGAGAGAAATGGGGAGGGTCCCTACAGAAGGAGGGTGACCGTCCATAAAGAAGTGAGCTTAGGGGACATAGTGAAAGAGAGAAGGAACACAGGGGAGTAGCAGGGGTCTCACCCTCCCTCCCCAGGAAGCAGGGGCTCCAAGGCTTTGATCCTCAGTCCCTAAGCAATGCCATCCCTGCCCTTTCACTCTGTAGATGGAGATACTGGCTAAGCACTGGGAAAGGCAGCTCTTCATGGTCCCCACCACATCCTTCTATTGGACTTTGAGATGATTTTCTTTGTTGCCATCCTGTGAGTTAATTTATCTCTATGAAATCAGTTCTTTTTTCTTTCTTTCTTCCTAAAATCCTCAAGCCAGTCCCCTTTCTTTTGCCGCTTCATGTTTTGCCCCCGCTGATCTGAAAAATGTGCCTGAGCTTACGTGTCCTGGGGGCTGGACAGGTGGCAGTGTGGGCGGAGGGGGCTGTTCCCTGGCAGAGATGACCAGGCGCTGATACATCCCCCCCCACCCCGCCATACACACACTTTTTTCTTCTTCCTCCTCTTTTTCTTGCTCTGGAGGGTGGCAGGGTGGGTGGACTTTAAGCTACTTTGATGTGAAGTCTCCCTAGCGACTCTAATGGCTCCTGGCCCCAGCACACTCTGAATGACTCTCAGGTAGAGACAKAGGCTTGGTCCTGCGGGGAGTGATTGGCTAAAGATCACGTGACTCTACCTCCCTCGGCCAATCAAGAAGCTGCCGGGGCTGGAGCAAAGATTTCACCCAGGAAATCGCTGGAGACTTCACCAGTCTGGGCGGAGGTGCCTGGAGAACCTGGGCGGGTGGGGTGTGGGAAGGATGGTGAGGAGGGGAGCCCGGAGCGCGGGACACTCACTCTAGTACGTCGCGGTTGAACTGCTTCTTGCTGTTGCCCAGGAACTCGCCGATCATCTGGCGGCTGAGGCCCTTACGCTGGAGCAGAAAATGGGCCACACCGATGGGGGTGTCCGGGATGAAACCGCGCGAGATCAGGAACTGGATGCCCTTGTCAGGGTTTCTGGAGGAGAGGTTGGAAGTGGGGAGTAGTAGTAGAGAATGAGCCAAGGCTGTCTCTGACTTCCATCCTGTCTTCCTACCCGCGAAACCCATAAAAGGGCCCAGAGGTCCTTGGAAACCAACTTCCCAGGAGATGCCAGGATTCTTTATGCTGCAGAGGTGTCTCTGCTGATGCATCCCTCACCTGACCCATCTCACACAGAGGTTGGGGGCGGCGCCGGAAGGAGGTTAATGTGGAGGTCTTGCATAGGCAAAGAGAAGTCCAGAGCAAGTGGAGGCATAGCACCCTTCTCTATCCCTGCCTTGCTCGCTCTGGATCTTACCCTGAGGTCTCCCAGGTCTACTGAGGAGGCCCTTCCTTCTTACCTGTATCCTGAGCTCAATCTCGGGTCCCCACCCTGGAGTCCAGAGAGGGAGGGGGAAAAGAGGTGAGATCTCTCACTATGCCCCCCTCCTTTCCTTTGCACGGTGGACAAGGCTACTGATCTCCAGTGTGAGTCTCTGTGTGGGTGTGTGCACTGTCCTAAGGCAATTGCTCTCTCAGTGCAGTCTGCAAACCCATGCTGCTCCCTGGGCTGAATCTTACTGGTTCAGGAGAAGATAAGTACAGAGATTGAGGGTAAGCATTTGGAACCTTTTATAGCACTTTGACATTTTCGGGACAACCAAGCATGTGATTGTTTTTCTAGCAATTCATTTTTATTGTGTTTTACAAAAGCATCAGCCCACGACATATTAGGTGAGAAAAAACCAAACTGGTCTTTCAGGAGGGATAGTTTGAGACTCTCTGCTTTGAGGGATAGGAGTATCTCAGTGTTTTTATGTGTAGGCAGAACTGATGCTGCGGCTGTGGGGGTAGGGTGGAGGCAGGAGTGAGGGCGAGGCTGTGCTCATCAGGTGAGGAGGAAAAGGAGAGATGGATTTGGAGTCCACTCTGGCTTCCCCTGGGTTTGCCTCGTACTAGAGTTGAACAGTGTGCATCCTGCCTCACTTTTGTGAGTCATTTTCTTTTCTATAAATGGCATAATACATATTACTAGATATTATTGGGAAGATAGCAGATGCTTTTTGTCAGCTGAACTATGAACAGCAGTGAGTGTCTTGAGGCCAGGGGCTGGGTCTTACTCATCTTTGTAGTTGCATGCCTGGCACTCAATAAATAATAGTTGAATGAATAAATGAACACACATGTAGGCAGGAGAGACATCAGGGCTATGAAGGAAGGGGTGAATGGATAGTGATGAGAATCTCATGGTTTTTGAATTTCCAAGAGAGGGGCATGTCTGCTTCCTCTGTTTGGCATTGTCTGTGCACATTCTGGTTGCAAGGAATAGTCAGGTTAGGATTTCTGAATTATGGCCATTCATTTCTCTCTTCCCATTCCCCTATTCTTTTTCTAGTCCATCTCTGCTTGCTTCATAGTTTCTTCCTTGTCTCCCTCTCCTCCTTTAATTCCTTCCTTCTCTTGATCTCTACCTGTATTCTTTTCACACACTCTCTCTCCTTCACCCAGTCCCTCATTTCACCAATCCCAAGAAATAATGCTGTTTCCTCAATTTCTTTTTTCTTCTTTGGTAGTGGGGATTGAACCCAGGAGCAATTTACCACTGAGCTACATCTCAGTCATTTTAAAAATAAAAATAATAATAATAATTTATTTATTTATTCTTGAGTCAAGATCTTGCTAAGTTGCTGAGGCTCACCTGGAACTTGCAATCCTCCTAGCTCCACCTACCAAGTCTCTGGGATTAAAGACATGGGCCACTGTGCCTGGTTTGTTTCCCTAATTTCTTATTCTGAGTGCTTCCCGCTCAATCTTCATACAGCTTGTTCCATTATTTACTCAACACTGGATTTTCTTTTAAATTCTCTCACTTTTCAAACCCTCACTCCAACTTAAATAGTAGTAGTTGTAAAAAAACCTGTATTTTATGTTTTCCCCTCTAATTCTTCTTAAAATAAATTTATAATGAAAAATAAAATGTGTACTTCCTAAATATTATCTCAGTGATCAAGTGTGACACAAAAATACCTGGAAAGACCTTGGGATGATGTGGTAAACTACCTAGCACCCAGTTTGGTGGAGAGGGAGTCCCCTGTAAATTCAAATCCACCATTTTTCAGTCCCTCCCAGGCCCTCTCCAGGTCCCCAAGGTGCCCTAGGCCAGAGCTCACTTACATGTTGAAGAGGTTGAGGCCAATGCGATAGAGGCGCTTGCGCAGCGTGTCGGTGGACAGCGTGGGTGACTTGCAACTAGCAGGGTTCTCGCAGTGGTAGCGGGGCAGGCTCAGGATCATGGCCTGCAGGGCTTCCTTGGAGGCGGTAGCCGATACTTCCGAACCTGACTTGGCAGACTTGGTGGATGTGCTGCTACTGCTCAGCTGCTCCGAGTTGTCGCCAGCCTCAGCCTCTGTTCCTTTCCCTGCCTCCCCAGTCTCCTCTTCTTCCTCCTCCACCTCTGTGGCCACAGCCTCCTCCACCACCGACTCCGCAGCCACTGGCCGGGAGGCTCCAAGGGCCCCACTGACTGCCACCTCGGGGCACGTGTCCTGGGAGAAGGCGTCCCCCTGACCCACAGCTGGGGCCTCCTGGGCCTCCTGCCCTGGGGCTTCGCCCTGCTCGGCTTTGCCGGCCACGGGTTCTGCTATGGCCTGGGCAGGTTGGGCGCCCAGGCAGTTGGCCACAGACAGAGCGGTGGAGGAGGAGACCGAGATGTTCTGGCTGGCGATCTGCACAGTGACGTCACGGAAAGCCATCATGAGGGTGCCGCTGTGGCTCTGGGGCAGGCCGGTGGTGGCCTCGCTGGCCTCATCTCCAGGCCCTGCGCCTGTGCTTTCAGGCTCCCTCATCTCAGTCTCCAGACAGGGCTGCCCAGGGCCTGCGTGCAGGGCTTGGTGGATCTGGTAAGCGCTGCTCTCCTGCAGGGAGCACATGGTCTTGAGGCTCCAGGTGTTCAGGGCGTCATCGATGGACTTGGCCAGAGACTGCACCTGCTCAGTGAAGGAGTCCTCCAACTCGGTGAGCGTGCCTGCGAAGGTGGGCGGCAGGGAGGGTGAGCGCACTAGCGGCAGCCCCAGGAGGCTGTAGCCCTCCATCAGGGCCTTCTCAGCCGCCAGGCTCTCGGCTGTGGGCGCCCGCACCTTGCGCAGGGAGATCCGCCGCGGAAGGCGGCTCTCCAGGAGCGAGTTGCGGATCTTTTCGAAGTTCTTGCTGAGCTGGTACTGGCGGAAGGCGGTTTGGATGGTGCAAGCAGCTCTCCGGGACACCAGATGGCCCCCGTACTTGTGTTCTAGCATTTCAATCTGCAACAAGGACAGCGGAAAGGGATCCATTAGGGAGGGATGTCACAGCCTGGATGGTAGTGGCGAATATCAGTTCAGTGGGTCACCTGGTCCAGCTTTGGTGGGGCCAAGGAATGCATTGCAGGGGACTACGAGGGGGCTCATGTCTGAACATTCCTACAGTGTCATGGCCTGGGATACCAGGCCCTTGGTAAGACTTCTAGCAGTGCAGGATATAGGATATGGGGGATTGGTGAATGTCCCAAGGGGCAGAGGAATAAGGTGTTGCCGATCATATCCAACCATAGCTACTGTGGTGGTTATCAAAAATGTTCCATCAGAGATGAGTATTGAAGGACTTATAGGAGAAACGCATGATATCTTAAATTTGCATTAAAATATTCTGTAATAAAAAGAAGGGTTAAGCAACACAATATTAATATTAATAAAAATATTAATAAACTCATTGGAGCTCAGTTATGGCCATATGTGAGTTTATTGTGCTATTGTTTCTACTTTGGTGCACACTTAAAAACATTAAACCATTAAAAATTAAACAGAAATGCTAAGGAAAAAAAATACAAAAACCAACTGCTGCTACTCCCTCCCTGCCTCCTCAGCATTCATGTCACTGCATTGGGGACCTTCCCTTTCCCTGCAAACATCATAAGGATTGAGACCAGGGTTTGACTGCATTACCAGGACCCAGCCCAGGGTCTGGCATATGATAGGTGCTCAATAAATATGAACCTAATAAATAGATGGAGGTGTATCAGGAGTGTGGGTCTCAGGTCACAGTGTCCTGCAGTTCTACAATTCAAGACACTTTCATTCACAGTGGGAGCTGTCCAGCCAGGACAGTGTTCGGTGGGACTGGCTAGTGTTGCCTCACCTGAGCAGATTTGGCCCCAGGAAAATTTTTGGCACAGACTAGTTTGTGTTCAGGGGCTTTGCTCACCTTATCTCAGCTCTGGCCACCTGCCTATGGTCTTCTCTGTGCCGAGGTTGCTATGTTCTCACTTTATCCTTTATCAGAAAAGGACTAGAAAGAGTATTCTCCTGAGGTGTGAATGACCATTAACATTACCATACCTCCTGGAGGGTTTGCATTTTAAATAAGGAAGGAGGTTTAAGGGGAGAGGCCTAATTGGTGGTATTGCATACTCTGGTTCTCAGAGAAGTTTAGGAAGCAAGGAAATGTTCTGAGGTCCTAAAATTATGTCCTATAGGCTGGGGATATAGCTCAGTTGGTAAGAGTACTTGCCTCGCATTCATAAGGCCATGGGCTCAATCCCCGGCATCAAAAAAAGTCCTATCCATAGCCTTACCCTTCTCTTACATATTATGTTATTCCTGAACAAAGAATTGGAAAAGAGAAACTGAGACTCACCTCTCCAGGCAAGAGCAATGTCACCACTCCCATGTTCCCTGGGGACCATGGGTATGAGGAGTAGAGGAAGAAAGGCCAGGTTCACCCCTCAGTACAACCCTGCAACCTGCTTTCCTCAACCCAACAAAGGCTGCAGCTATACCACCCACAACTTCTGTAATGCTCACTGTTCCCCCCTGCAGGGTAGGATGGTGACCCACATCCTGGACCTTCAGAGGTGTCCTTTTAACCCAGGGGACCTTATGGATACAACCCGATTTCTAGTGACAATTCCAGGTAAAATGGGAAGTCCCCAGTGCTAGTATTTGGCTCTTCTAGTCTTGTCATTCAGTGCCCTTTCCTATTCCCAAACCTATGGAAGTCACACTATCTCTCCTCCTGTATCCAGCCCTAGCCCTACTCTCCAGGGGCAATTAGAAGCTTATTCAGATATAGGTATAAATGACCCACGAGGCTTCCCAAAAGTAGCTGCATTTTACAAAAGACTCTAAGCTGCAGAAGAAAGATTGACCAGTTGTGTCATGATCCTAGTGTTGTAGGGGTCTTCAAAGTATTAAAAATTATACTAGGATGGGTTGGGAATGTAGCTCAGGTGTAGAGCAGTTGCCTAGCATGTGCAAGGCCCTGGGCTCCATCCCTGGCACTGCAAAAAAACAAAACAAGCAAGCAAGCAAACAAACAAACAAAAAACCCATAGAAAGTGTATTGGTTATTGCAGTGTAACAAACTATTAAAAACTTAGGTGCTTAAAACAATGCCCCTTTATTTTCTCATAGTTCTTTAAATCAGTTGTCTGAGCATGGCTCAACTGGGTTCTGTATTCAGGATGTCACTAGGCTGAAACCAAAGTGTCAGCTGGGGTTGCAATCTTATCTAAGTCTTCTTTCAAGCTCACTAGTCTTGGCTGAAGCCAGTTTCTTACACTTGTAGGTCAGAGGCCCTCAGTTAACAAAGGCTGCCCATGTTTCCCTGCTGTATAGCCCAAGGAGCAACATGGAGTTTGCTTTTTCAAAGCCCACAGAGGAGTATTTCTTCCAAGGTTTTACTTTCTTTTAAAGGCCAGACCTGATTAGACCAGGACCACCCTTTTGATTAACTCAAAGTCATGTTGGACATATCATATCACATATTATAGGAGTGATAGCCATTATATTCATTTGTCTCACTCAAATTTGAAAGGAGGGGATTACTAATGTATGAAATATGATATGTCATGAGCTTTGTAATGTTGTGAACAACCAATAAAAAAAATAATAAAAAAAAAAAGAAAGGAGGGGATTATATAGGACCTGTACCTCAGGGGTAGGAATCCTGGGGCCATCTTGGAATTCTGTCTACAATACCAATGGGACAATTGTCTACTTGGTCTTTATCTGAGCAGCACTGCATGAACCCAAAGGAAATATGGATATCTGCTTCCAAGGCATTTTGTTCCTGCTCTAGCAGAAATCATATTAGAAGGGTGAGAACATTGTAGCTTGGCTCATTCTTCCTGGTAAACTCTGACATGTTCCCTGAAGCCTAGAATGGATATTTGGCCTTGGCTTATCCAGGAAAGTCCTCCAAAGGCAAAGTACAGAGAGCGAGGGGGAACTCATCATAAATTGCTTCCTTCCCTTTTAACTTCCATCACCCTTTTACCTCTCCTCAGGTGTGACAAGAAACTGGCATGAGACCCCGACTTTATATCTCTTTCTCATTGGCCTATTAGTGCTTCCTAGGGAAACCTTAGCCCAAGATTTATAAGATGCTACTGGCAACTGAGAGAAGGTATGAAGCCCATTGCCTGAGGTGTTCCAACATGGTAAAGGGGTCCATCTCCCTGGCATGGTGTCATCCTATTTAGAGGCAGAGACTTGAGATCATCCTCAGAGACTCCTTCTGCCAGTCAATGTCTAGGCTTCAACCAAGAAGAGAGAGAAAAAAACAGATTTTAAAAACTGATATTTATCCCACTCCCTAGACTTTAAGTTCCATAGAGGCAGAGACCATTCCTACCATATTAATTTCTATATCCCCAATGCTTGGACATTGACCAGCACACAGTAGAATTCAATGAATAAGTACTGAATAAATTAAAGAGAAAATCCCCAGGTCGTCTTTTGTGACTCTCAAAAACCTTCCTCGTCTGACCCAGTACAGATGACCTCTCCTCTCTTGCCTCCTCTGGACGTTCACGACTTGTCCCCTTCTTGCATTTCCAACCTCCACCCTTCTGTTTGCTGCTTCCCACCTGCCGGTGCACACCCTCCAAAATCTCCCCAGGATAAAACAGAGCTCCATTTGGCTCTCCTCCCTCTGGAGCACTCGTCAAATCTTGTTTTCCACCGCACTTCTTGGAAGACAAGTCTACCTTTTACCTCCCTCTGAAAATGAATGCCAAACTGGTGATCCAACTCCCTGTGCCCTACTCCTCACATTCTGGCTCCCACTCCCCTGGCCCATCCTCAACCTCCCTCCTCCCTCCTTGCTCCTGATGTTGAAATTCTCCTCTTGATTTTCTTGCCCCTCTATGGTTCCTTAATCTTAGACTCTGGCCACAAAAATCCCCGCCTGCTAGTGGGTCACCTGCCATTCTATACACATATTTTCTCATACAGTTCTGACATCTTCCATGACTTCCATGTTGGAAGTCATTAGAGCAGTGACAGGGAGCTGATAATTAATGACTAATTAACAGGGAGAAGTGGCTCAGGCAGAGCCTTTGTGGTGACTCTCACCAGGTTCCGTAGGCTAATGTCTTCTCACCTCTCGCCTTCTTTAAGAGAGCTCTTCGACTATCATAACATTGCTCTACTTTAGCGGATCGATGAGCCAACGTCTACTTCCTCCATGCTGGCTGAACTTGGACAAGTTTATTAACATCTCTGACTCTCCGTTTTTCTTATCTGTTAAATGAAGCTCATACTGCTGATTCTGTAGCTTGTTATGAGGAATAAATTATTTTCTCATGTAGCATCAGGCATATAGCAGGTACTCAGTCAGTGGTAGGTATTTGATGATGACATTGATGGTTATGTACATGACTCCCAAATCTCCACTCCTACCCTTGATCCTAGACCTGCATTTCCAGTAGCATATTGGTCTCTCTGTTCATCTATGTAAAGCCAACTCGTCTTTCTCCACCTCACCCTAATCACTTTTCTGTCTTCTCTTATACCGTCATTCAGGGTGGGAACCTTGTGTCTGTCCTTGGGTCCTCCTTTGCCCTGTCCTTTGCTTTGTCTCCTAAAGCCTCCATCCCCATCCTTTGTCCTTTCTCAATCATCCTCTACTTTCTGGCCAGAATGTCACACATGGGACTCTCATTGAATATCCAGCAGTCTCTAACTCTCTCCTACTTCCTCTCCCTCCCCCATTCACCAGATCCGGCACCTGCCTCCTCTGTTTTAACTGCACAAACTACAACACACCCCATCTCCACTGCCCACTGCCCCCACCAGCCCTGGGCCTCCTGCTGCAGCATCTGCTCAGCCTTTTCCTTCAGCCTCAACTTCACCCACCCTCATCCCTTTCCTCCATGTACAAATGTTCCCCTTTCTTCAAGACCTGTCTTGAATACCCCTCTTCCACTCAGCCTTCTCAATTTCTCCAACCACACAGGGTCTCCTTTCCTTTGACCCCCATACAG